ATAAAATAAACTAGTATTACATATATATTTTAAGCATTCATGACATACCTACTGTTTTCTTAATTTTTTGATATTTCTATTTTATACAGTTTGCGAGTTTTTTCAAATTGCCACAAATTTCTGAAAGCTTTTCCAATATATTAATTGAAAAAATTTCTCACATAAGTGGACATGTGCAGTTCAAACCTGAGTTGTTTAAGGGTTAACTGTACTAATTGGTCACAGAATGGGTGCTAAAAATGTAAATGATTGTTTGGTCTTGAAAATCTTTAAGTCTGCTTCCTTTATTATTATTTTTTAATGTTATCATAGTTGCTTTTAGTCCCGCCCTGGCCCTTTAGAAAATGATCCTTCTCCTGAAATAGCCTGAAAGCCTCTGTAGTTTAAAGCAACCTAACATGATGCTGTAAACAGAGACTTAATGAACAGGGGAAACAGCACCACAAGTCTGACATATGCCCGCTGAACACAAGAAACTCAAAATTGTGCAATACTCAAAAAGTCCTTCAAGGTTCTGGAAATTCTCCAGCTTCTTCCCTGAGTTCCTGACCTCTACCCCAGACTGGCGACTTGGCATCCTCAGCTGTGTGTTTGGTGTACTCAACAACCAGAAACCTCCTGCACATACCTGATCCTCTGGGGGAAGCCTTTCAGTGGGTTTCTTACCAGCTTGCTCACCATGCAGCTGAGGGTGGGTCTTGTGGGGACATGAGAAAATGTCCACCACCTCCAGGAGCAAAAGGAGCCCAAATCTAGTTTCTTTTCTCTGAGCTTCTTCCCTGGGAGAGGATGTTCCTTTATGCAGATTAAAGAGCACAAGAAACAAAGAAAGCCACAATACTGAACTTAATTTCAAGTACCACTCCTTTCCTAAAAATGGTTAACTGGTAGCTACATGGTCTCATTCTTGTTGCTAATAAACAGTAAAGGCGCCAAGAAACTGAAGCAGCGGGGGAGAAAAGGAAGAAACCAAGGGTTTAGATCATTTGTGAAAATGGATATTCAGTCTTTGAATAATTAAAGATATCCAATCTGTAGAATGTTAAAGAAATCCCTAATCTACATTTATGTTAGAACATATCATTACTAATCCAGGACATTAAAATTTTATCATAATAGTTATGGACAGTTCTGCCAAAGAATCTCACTCATTGGCTATCAAAATAAGGGAAATGCTGAATTATAGAATACCATACTTTGAATATTTAATAAATTAATCCTCTGTGCTGATAGTAGGAGTTCTAGAAATCATGCCTGTTGCATGACAGCACTTAGTCAATATACTAATTAATAACAGTTGTTTGAGAGCAAGTCAATGCCTAATAGGTTAACAACACAAATTAGAAGTACAGAGAAATCATACTCAAGGTTAAATTCATTCTAAAAAAGACCACTGGTAGTTATGAATACTTAAAGGAAAGGAAAGAAGATTGGAGCTTTTGTCAGAGTTGACTCTTTTGAGAGTTCCTGGGTCATTAAACAGGAGCTTATTCATATAAATTTTGGCCCTGATATCTGGATCTTTCATATTTTTCACATAACTGAATTGTATCAGATTCTCTTGGGTGCTCAACAACAGATTCTGACTCTGAAATCCATACCATTTCTCAAAGGGGGAAGAAGAGGGGGAGGCAATAGGGAGAGAGGGAAGGAGGAGAGAAAGAAGGGGAGGGAAGAAGAGGAGGAGTAGGGCATGGAAAAGAAAGGGATAAAGGGAGGAAATGTGGGAAAAGGAAAAGAAGAAGGGGGAGGGAGGAGGAAAAGATGGAAGTGGGGCCATGGAGGGATTGAGGAAGACCAGAAATCTCATTCATTTTGACGTAGGAGGTGGACTCCAACTTTTTTGTATAAAATATTTTCAAGTGAACCCCTAGATATACATATAGTGGGTGACGGGAGCTCCCTATTTCTAGAGAATTTAAAAAATACTATGTAATCAATCCTTGATTAGGACATAAATACTTAATTTTAAACTTCTAAGTATTATATAATTTAAATACAAGTTTTTTGTAGATTTAAACGATTCAACATGGAGATAGTACAAGTTAATTTTCTTACAGAATTAGATTTTTGTTTTCTCAGCATAATTGCATGACATTTGGTAGAAGAAAGTTTGATGCTGGGGGGAAAACATGCTGATAGTGACTTTGGAAGCTTCTGGGCAGGTGCTTTCCTGGAATCGAGCAGATGATTGTTAAGACAGGAAGAGAAAGGAGATGCTGAAGAGGTTTGCCCCTGTGACCATTTACATCTGGCTGCTTTACATGTTTTAGGTTTGCTGTTCTGGTCAGGTCTTCTTGGCAACTTATTAAATAATCTGAAAAAACTGATAAATATATTAGAGTAGGCTAATGATGGGGATTCCCACTTCCTGAGTTGGTCTGCCTGCACTTTCCTACAGAAAAGTCCTGTTTCAGCCACCTGAACTATAATTTTCTTGTCCCAAGGATATTATGGTGAAAAGATATTAATCTACGTAGAAGGCATTGCTTTAACCCCTACACTTCATTGGTTTGATGAAGTTTGAGGAAACAGGAATAACTCAAGTGTGTTGAGGATCAGTGATTTCACATTTAAAAAGCATAAAGCTTATTAATGGTCTTGAAGAGAAAAGATTCCATATGAATACAAAACCATCATTATCACTGGTAACATATCCAAATATCTTGCCAACATTTTTCTGATTCAGACTGTTAAATTTCATATTAAAATATAATAAAAAGATATTCATTTAAAAAACCCTTGTAAACAGACAAAGCTTGAAAAACAGAAACTATACTTAGGAAACTCCACACAAACAAGCACATTTTAGGGTACTTTTCCCAAGTGATAAGGACAGAGTTAGGATGTACCAATAGCAGGAGTAGTTGAAATTTAATTGAGGGCTAAGCATCCATTAGGCACTGTTCCACCTGCTTTCAATATATTATCTTATGTAATTCTCACAAAACCCTTCTGTTCTCTTCCTATTTCATCGATAAGGAATCAGCAAAGCAAAAATTCCACAGAATGTACTGGTGTATACAAAGAGAACGGAAAGAATCTGAGAGTCTATCTCATATATCCCAAAACAAGGATGTTGAAAAGTGTTTAGTAGACACAGAAGACAATACAGCTGGTAAAGTTGAGATAAAGGGAAAGAGTATAACAAAAAAAGCATATTCATTAGACTAAACTAGGTTGTCAACTTGATTTAAGGAACTCTGAAATAATAAGCTACATTTGTTCTGTTTTCTTAACTTACTGCTACTTGGTGTGCTGAAATGCTTTTAAATCTCTGTAGTACCTGTCCGTGTACCTCAGAAAGGGCTTGGCTCTGGGCAGCCTCTGTCTCTTGAGTCAAACTGGCTGCGGAAATCTGACACCTTGGTCACTAATATATTATGTTGCCATCACTTTAAGCATAAGCAAAGTAAATACACTTTAAGCATAAGTAAAATAAAATTTTAAAAAACAGATAGTAATAATGATAATATTTTTGGAGTAACAGCAATGTGTTTTGCTTTATGGGGCAGAAGTGACCTTAGCATGGATCTTATTTAGCTTTTTAAAGTTAATTTCTATTTTTCTTTTTCATTTCTTCAAGAAGAAAAGGGCTAAAATAGGCTCAGTACTCTACTAGCACTTCGCTGGTGACAGTGGACTATTTAACTGGTTTTAAATAACATGGCTTAACTGTGGCTGTCAGTAAAATAGGGGCCTTATCATACCACAGGCGCCCACACTGGGTACCACAGGCCACAGAGAAGCACTTAGCAGTTGTGTGTAATCAAATTTGTGAAAACTGATCCGGAAGAGCACTTCATTATTTACAGGAGTGCTGTAATAAATCTTTTGCAAACTATAGAATCCATTTGTAATGTGAAATGTCTCTTAATTTGTGTTCTTAAGTTTGAATTTTTGTGTACATGTGGTCTTCATAAAGTAGGACACCTCTGGAATATATGGAAGCCCAGGTAAATCTAAAGTACTCAAATGTAATATTCATTCATTTGTTCATCCATATTCTGAAATGATGCATTGTACTAAGCATCATGCCAGGCCAGAGGGATGGCCATGATGAAGTCCACTAATGCCTTTATGGTGCTCAACTCAGTTGGGGAGGAGAATTCTGATGCCTTAAATATTCCTCTCTTGGAAAGTCAAAGATGAAATAAGCACCTTCCTCCTACAAAACAGCTATCCAATCATTTCTTGAAAGCAATGCCATAGGTAATCTTTTTGAAATCTCCTTGTCACATATTAAACAACACAATAATGTGATGAATTTGTGTTGTCATAAAATATCAAGTGTGAAAATGAGAACTGGCAGGTCTCAGGGAGCTGAATGCCCTGGAGCCCTGCGCTGTAGCTAGAGGTTGGGTCTTTCAGCGTTTCAGCCTGAAGGGACCTCAGATTCTTGTGTTCACCCTGCCCCCTCCTCGGTCCCATCCCCTACTTTGTTTTTTCAGAAGAAGAAACTCGTGCTCATAAAGGTTGAGAAAGTAGCTGAAACCAGAATCAGTCAGGGCTTTTTCATCCCCAGACTTTTTAGCTGATTTGCTGAATGATTCTGCTCCTCCTCAGAAAATCTATATAAATGACATATTTCAGGGCTTGAGGGGTGTTCTCTTGCTCCCTTTTGGTTAAACTTACATGCTTGTAAGTAGAAGATGTGGTGGCAACAGATGATGGATGGTAAAAAGAACTTCTGCAAGGACAGCCAGAGCAGACCTGCTCTGGGCTCATGTCTCCTTAACCCTTACCTGACCCGGCGGTCCCCCTTAACTCCGCCGGCCACTCTCAGGATTAGGCTGGTGGTAGGGTGAAACTACAGATCCCAGGAGGCCGAGGACGTCCCTCCCAACCTCTCCGTAAGCGGGTCGCTCCCCTCGTTGCATTCTGGGAAATGTAGTTTCTTTCTAATCAGTAACTACGTGCTTGGAAAGCGGAGTTATTAGGTTTGAGGGATTCGCCCCTCCACTGGCCCCGCCCCCTCCATTGACCCCGCCCCAGGTTGCTCAGGAGATCAGAGACGCCGAATCCTGGTCGGTGTTGCCGTGGGGAGCAGAATAGGTGCAGAAAGAAATCCTCCGAGGTCTGAATGTGGCCCGCCTCAATGGACAGTTCTGGCAGCTCCTGTCAGGACTGGTGCAGCAGTAGGCAATACTGGTTTGAGCTCGGACCCACGGACTTGCTGGAGCGCAAGGGCTCCCTCACCCTCCGCTCCCATCACAAGAAGTACTCGAAACCCGTGTTGGTGTATTCTTGGTGAGCGAGCTCGCTGCAGTTCCCGGCTGCTGGGGGAAGGGATGGGGGAGGAGAGAAAGTAATAGAGAGAGGGCAAGGGTGGAGAGGATGGAATAAACAGCGAAGAGAAAGAAAAAAGAGGAAGGGAAGAGCAGAGAAAGGGAAAAGGAAGAGGTGAGAAAGAAAAAGATGAGACAAGTGAGAGGACTGGGAGATGAGACAAGGGAGAAAAAAGAAAGGGAAGAAAGATCTTCAAAGGAGAGGTAAAGAGGGTGGGAGTGAGAATTGGGGCAGCGCAGGAAGAGATAGGAAAGCCTCCAAGAGCCCTGCCCTGCCACTGAGACCTGCCCTGCAGGTCCCTGTCCACCAGAGGTTATAGATCACCCTCACCGACGATGGAGGAGAGGGTGTTTGCAAAGGCCTAGAAATCACATTTCTGAGATAACAGTACTTACTCATGAAAGGAAGGGTCCATTAGGGGAGAGCAGGAGGGAGATGAGTTGTCTAAGCCCTCCTTGATCCCATTTATTCATGTAATGTATGTGAACCCTGCAGTTTCTGCCTTGCAAACTTTCTACAGCCTCTCCACTTTCCTACAAGCCCACTCCCCTACTTTTAGTTCTCATCCCTAAAACTGACTCTCTGCCTATTTTGAACTGAGTGTGAGAGGCTAGATAGATTTGGAATCCAAAGCTCTACTGGGAAGTAGAAAATCCTTTTAGCCTCATATAGGGGTTACCTCATAGACCTCAAGCAAAACACTTAGCTCTTCCATGATTTTGTTACTCTATAAAGATGTAGGTCATAATATAAATCACTATTAGAAATTAGTGTTAAAGACAAAGAACTTTTTCAAGTGGACAGTGTTTCTGCTCTCTTCTGCCCTACCATGACTTGTGGACATCGTAGACATCAATAGCAAAACCACCGAAGAACATACATGAAAAGGAGATGAGGAATTTGGTGGGGGAGAAATGTGGTCTAACACGGAAAGTCATTCTGGTCACTGCTGAGAATGTAGAGAGTTCTTATGCTGTTAGTTTTAGAAAGAACGTTTGGGAACAGGAGGAAATTCAACAAGCATTCATGTGTCATGCACTTTGCTATGTGTTGGAGACACAGAGACAGATAAAGTGGATTCAATGAGTTAATTTGTCTAAAGCATTTAACACCATGCTTGTACATAGTAAGCAGCCAAAAACATATGGTAGCTAATACTAATTTTTTAGGATAATGATTACACATTTGGACTCTAGGTTTGAATATCAACTCTGCAGCATGTGATATGGCAAGTCACATGAATGCTCTAGGCCTCTGTTTCTACAACTGTAAATTGGGGATGATAGGATTTTTGTAAGATTAAACATGGTATTGTTTGTGAAGCACATTTTAACATGTAGCCTGGCACATAGTAAGCACAGTAAAGGTTATATACGTGTGTTAGGACATGGTCATGGACCTCAAGGAATTTCGTAGACCTGTAAAGGAGAATGCCATTAAATTCAGTATAATCTGATTTGTGCAAAATAGAGATGAGTATAAGAGGTAAAGGTAACAGGAAGAGGTTTGTGTGTGTGTAGTTTCCTGAGCAGGGTTTAGAAGGAAGAATAGGAGCTCCATAGATACACAAAAGAGAACATTGCACTCACAGGCAAGTGCAATGGAATAGTAAGAAGCAACCTCGTAGGGAAATAAAAATAGTTCTCTATAGTCCGCAAGTACAGTTGATCCTCATTATTTGCGGATTCTGTATTTGTGAATTTGCCTACTTGCTAAAATGTATTTATAACCCCAAATCAATACTCAAGGCAGTTTCGTGGTCATTTATGGACATGTGCAGAGAGGCAAAATTTTTTAGTCACTCTCCCATTTTTAGATCAAAGTGACACTTTGCCTTCTTGTTTCAGCTCTCATACTGTAAACAAGTATGTTTTTTTTTCATGATCTATTTAGCATTTTTGTGCTTTTTGTTGCTGATTTCATTGTTGATATAGCCACCTACTGCTGGAGTGCTATCTAGTGATATGTGCAAGAAGGCTGTGATGTGCCTTGTGGAGAAAATAGATGTCACACAGGCTTCATTCAGTCATGAGTTACAGTGCTGTGAGTTCAATGTGAATGAATCAGCAGAAGATATCAAATAAGGTATATTTAAACAGAAACATACATAAAACCAGGTTATATATTGATTGGTTGATGAAAATGTGAGCAGAGGCTCACAGGAACCTACTCCTTTATTTCCCCTAGGAGCAATGGTTCAGTATTTGCTAATTATTTGTGACAACTTTATAGAATATAACCACCTAAATAATGAGAACTTATCATAAAATGTGAGAAATACTTGATTTCTTTGAGCTGACTATGCAGTTGTCATCCTTGCTTCCCTTCCATATCTAAGAAGTCACCAAAATCTGTCTTAAAAAAAAACCAAAACTATATAAAGTTCAAATTATATAAACTTCCAAATGAATGATCTGATCAACTATTTTGTTTTTATGCATTCTGGTCATAATTGTTTGTTTTCTATTGACTTATTATATATATATTGAAACTCTTATTAAATTTTAATCTTTTATGAGTGATTTTTATTTAATTGATGAATACTTACTATCTATGATATAGCATTCAAGTGGCCTCTCGGCTGAGTATTTGATCAGTTAAATGACTGTACCTCTAGGTTTGCAAAGTAGAATCTATAACTGGGAAAGATTCTTATTTACCTCTGCTTATATAGTTTAAGCATTTGCATGATTTCTGTGTTTCTCTTTATGTTGCATGTAATACAAGTCTGTCTGACTTCACTTCACATATTAAAAACAGTTGTATATAATAGACCTGATAAAGTGATATGCACAAAATGGTTGTTAAAAGAATCTCTGGTGCATTACTGGAATAAGGCATTGCCTAGGCACTGTCTCTTCCTTACAGCTATAATGGACAGGGCCATTTCACCTGCATCACACTGATGCTTCTGAATGAGAGAGGCCTTTTCTAGAAATTATTTTTCTCTATTCATTCCTGTAGCATTTGTGGAGTTGTATCATTAGATGATTCCATGAAAAATTCTGAGTTGGGGGAAATTTTCTCTCAGGGTATCTTCACATTCATTGGAATAATGGAATTCTAAGAACCAGAACAACTAGATTTGCCCTTAATAAATTCTCTGATGTGAGGCTACTTCTTATATTTTTATATATGTATTTTAACTCATCTCTTCATTGCCCATATCGACATCAGGTAATAAGTGATGATAATTTAAAGCCCAAAAATTCATTCGAGTCTCCATGGAGACAGTTCATGCTCTGGTCTCCATGGTGACACCTAGTTTTAAGAGCTCAGGTTAATTTTATGTATATTTCAATTACTTTTCTCCCCTGTCTAAGCCCTAATTAAAGAGCCTGTGCATTTTACTCTTCCCTTCCTCACCCCCCCACCTCCCTATAATAAGAAGAAAACAGAAAGAGAAAGGGAAAAAAAGGAAGAAAAATAAAATTCAGTGTTCATTGTGGGGTAGGGAAGTTCATAGTTTTACAGATTTCTACAGAAAAATCATTTGGGTTGGGGAAAGAAATTAAAGAGCTTTCTGTGATGCTCTTCAGACTTACACTCTATTGTGCTGTCTGAACAGGGAGTTCATGTCTATTTAAGGTACTGCACAGAGAACCCGCTTTCAAGGCCACAAGGTACCATTAGCGTACTTGCAAAGAAAATAGAGATGCATTTTCTAATTTGCTGTATCATTCTTCCTGTATTTATTCAGCGACTTTCTCAGGGACTAACCTGGCAGTATTTGGAGTCCTTCACATGATTCAGGGCCACGGTAGGATGACCCAGCCCTTCTCTAGCCAGCATCCTTCTCCTCACATCTCCAGTACACACTCACAAAATGGGATGAAAAGGCAAATCCGAAAGCCTTTAGTAACCACATGGTGCAGCCTGCCTCTTTTTTGAAATCCGTAAATGCTTCCCCTTCCACCAAGCCTCCATCCTCCTACCTTTAACAGCTCAGGTCCTCAACCGAATGATTATTAACTCCTATTTTATGTATATTTTAAAGAAGTTTGCTTATGTGGTTTCCATGCACACAGCATAGACTTTGGAGAGAAGAGAGAAGAGCCTTTAAAGAGGCTTTTTTGGTCAATAATGAGAAGTGAAAAGAGCAAGCCTCAGGGCAAAGGGTAAGAACATAGTGGGTGCTCAATTAACATTCATCAAAGAAATGAACAAATGAGCAGATAGAATGAACACACACAGAAACCCAAAAGGCACTGGGTTGGGACCCTCTATTTTATACTTTAGGAAGGCCCAGAGGTAAAAGTCTATAGGACAGCATAAATTCATAATAAAACGAGAATCGATTTCTCATAGCCTGATCCTGATATAACAGGACGACACTGAAGCCTGTTTGCTCACCTCTGTATAAGTGAACTTAGAGTATAATGTGCTCTTCTTCTGATTTGAATGGTGAAGAATTTAAAATTGGGAGCTAAACTTGTGCTCTTCCTACTTGCGGTGCATAACTTATCAGGGACTGACAGATACTAAGAAGATTTTGAGTTTATATAGGGACAAATGAGTTTATACTTTAAAGAGATATTTTGATTTCTTAACTCGTGCTTAAAAAAACAATTCTAAATTATAATATCATGTGACCATTTGAGATGATGTAATAGTAGACCAATGACATGCAAATATATTCACTATCAAGTGGGTAGCAGAATTAGAAATTTGCACACAACTCAGATGCATATATAAAATTTATTTTCTAAAATTGATCCTCATGGCTTTCATTGTTAGTTAGTAGGAAAAAATTCAAACTTGCCAACTATAGGGTATCTGTCTCTTCAAGTTTAAACAGCTTGTTTTAATTTAAAATAGTCTCTCAAAATGGTGCCCATTATTTCTGAGTCCTTCATCCTCCACACTCTCCTTTCCCCAGTGGCATCTGTGTGTGTGTGTGTGTGTGTGTGTGTGACTGACGTTGTATGTTATTTTGGCGGTGGGGAGTGAGGCCCCCAGAT